TACACACATATACAGTATATTAGATTGACCAAGTCCTGGAAGACTGAGATTTTACAGCAACACCAACATTGGGTTCAGGTTGTATTCATACTATTGCAATGGTATTTATATTTGAGTTTTCTACTTTTAGTTCATCGTTGCCGTTTTAGGAATATTATTCTGTGATGGTGTGGACAGGAAGTGGCAAGCTCAAATGTAAAAGGTGAGATTACACAACATGCTAGCAAGAATAGCATCCGTATTCTGTAAACAGAGTGTGCTGTCACAACTTATTCCGTGCGCTCTGTTCGCTACAGGGTCACAGACTATTTACACTGGAGTCTGACGGTAGCTGCAGTCAAATGTGTTTGTTGTGATTCTGTTTAAAAGGCTCGTCAGTTTGGATGTGGTACCTGTCCAGGGAATGAAGCTGACCCAGGTGTGGAGCCTCCAGAGTGGCTGGGGGAGTTGGGCAGAGACTTGCATGCCTGCAGTGCTGCATGTTTCCTTTGCACCACAATTTTCTGGGCAGCTGAAAAACACAGTACTTATTCAACTTTTCACTCAACTTACTAACAATAAAAATACACTTTTAATTATTTATGTTTGCTTTAATGGGATACTTAATCCTTTTGGCGATCCCTTATTTCTTAATTTACGACAGCACTGATACAACTCACCCTCTGAAAACACTCTGTCCACGTTGAAGCCGTAGGTGGCGCAGGTCTCATAAAACAACGAGTGGCGCACATCAATACACAACTGTCTGGCTCTCTGATCTTCAATTACACGAGGGTTGGTGCTGCTTATTTTATCTGAACAAAAGAGTTAGAGGGAACTTTACACCAGAGTGAAAAAGACGGCCCAATGTGAACAAAACTATTTAGAACAAGAAGCCAGAAATTGAAGCCTGAGCAGGACCAGCTTCCCTGCAGGCTGGTTCCAGGACACGTTTCTAAGTCCCACTCCTTTCCTGTTCATGAATTTGATATTGCCCCTGAAAAAATAATACTGATCCCGTGACTAATTTTCAACAATGAGAGCAGGTGGAGACAACAGGTCTATAATATATATATATGTTCTATATATGTGTCCCCCCAAAAGTTGTTTCAAAAACATCAAGGCCTAAACACATTTTCATTCAAACTGTATCTTCTATTTTTGTAGAACATACAGACTTCTACAGGAGTTTCCAGCAGCTCTTCTAACATCTCAGCCATAGTCAAGAGTGTCACTTTAATTTTCTTGAAACACTACACGGCTTGTCCAAGATTTATCAAAATGAAACCATATGAAATATTCTGATAGAAACGCTTGTTTAATTCAGACTTCTGTCTGCATCAGCTGTTTAACCTCATTTATACAGAATCATGCTCCTGGTGCTGATTACTGCATTTTTCTCTGAGATGTTGTCAGTTCCTGCCTTCCCCCTTCTCAAGGACCGGGATGGAGAACCAGACGACACACTGTTAACACGTCAGACGATTTATTATGTGCTTTAATTTATGTTAAAAACTGTCTTTTTTGTATTTTCTTTGGCAAGTTTTCATACTTAATTAGCCATCAATAAATAATATAGCCCAATATATACCAAAAACATTCTTACAAGGTGTATACCTGGTTCCAGGTGTGTACCAGGTAAATTCCCATTATGTGCTGGTATGTACTCGGTAAGTATCCAGTAAGTACACTGTTACTTGTACCCTGTAAATACCAGCTACAGTACGTATGCTTTGAGAACCTGGTAAGTACACTGTTAGTACCAAGTACATACTGAAAAAGTACCAGGAATGTGTCCCGTAAGAAACAGATGAGCACCCAGTAAGTAGGATTTAATTCTACATTTAGACAGGTAAGTTGTTTTTACTTCGGGATTTGTTTGGGTTTCAGTCAGGTCATTTTAAAATAGGTTACAACATATAAACAAACTCATCCAATTTAGTTTTCTTGAGAAAGAAAAGTGTACAGCGTTATCATCCGTGAAATAAAGGAAATTAATTCTGGACAAACTGTCCAGCATGAGACTGAGTTTCATGTCCTGAAATAACTTACGACTCAAAACTGGCACATTTCACTCATTAAGGCATCAAAGAAACATTGTTTGATCAAATAAAATAAAATAAAAAAGTTGTAAGCTCGTTGTTTGAACTAGTTTGGAAAGTTTTACAGAAGTGTTGATTTAACATCAACTGAAAAAGGCGTAATTTCAGAATACGTAAATCCCTAATCTTGTGATGTCCGTGCATACCTTGGGTGCCGACAACGATGACTGGGATGTCAGAGCGGTGTGCACCGAGCTGGCTATAGAGCTGGTACAGCTCCTGGAAACTGGCCTCGTTTTCCAGACTAAAAACCAGGATCACTGCATCAACCCAGCTACAAAACTGGAACCACAAAGCAGAGAGAGACATTAAAGTACGAAGCTAAATTAATCCCACGTGTTGTCACACAAGCATGCAAGTTTTGAATGTGTACATTAAAATCCACAGGTGTACTACAAGTTTTACAAATGTGTACTTTAAGATTCAGAATGTACAGTTTTTCAAATTGCACATGTAGGAATATTCTGCGCATGTGAATACAGGTGCACAAATCGACTTCTGTGCACGGATCAGTCGACATGAGCTGATCACAGATCAGTTTGTCAGTAAATATTACTTCTGAGACTTTCTTACCGCTCCAGATTCAAGAAGGTAACGTTGCTTCAAGGCTGGTGAAAAGTTGGAACATCTGAGCCTTACTATGGAGGATGTACTAGGCTACTGAGAAGTATACATTTATAACGGCACAGTGGCTAAACTCATCCATCCATCCATTATCTTCACCTGCTTCTTCCTTTTCGGATAGCAGGGGTCACTGGTGCTCATGTCCAGCAGTCACTGTGCAGGAGTCAGGGGACACCCTGGACAGGTCTCCAGTCCATCACAGGGACACATAGAGACAAATGAGACAAACAACCATTCACTCTCTCACTCACATCTAGGAACAATTCAGAGTTACCATCAGTCTAACAATAGCTGCACTCACACAGAGACATGTAGGAGGAGATGTATGAAGGCAACAGACCAAGAAGTGATTTAAAGATGAAAATGTACCAGTGTGTAGTGAACTAAGCCTCAGGTCAAATCCTGACCTTGAGGGCCTTCCTGGGACAAGAACTGTATTTCATTGATTTGAGTCCAGAAACACAAAATTAAGTTCATCCAGAGACTTTCTAAGTGTGTCCTGCACTGATCAATTGAAAGAACACTCTCTTTTTATTATCATTACTATTTTACAAATGTCTTGATAATCAAAGTGCGTTTAGTTCAAACCATTTTTAAATGTTGAAGTGAACTACTTATTTTAAATCAACTGTGAAACAGTATTAATGATTTTTTAATCCTCATTCAAAGTAGAGATCAAGTTAAAATGTGTTACAGAGTAATTATGCATTTTCTGATTTTCTGTCTGAAATGAGCAAGTTGTGATGTCGGTCAAATGTTGGAGACAAACGCAAACAAGTTTGTTGGAACGAACTGTCATGTTTTTAAATCCTCTCAGACGTAAATAGAGAAGCTGGCACCTGTTTCCTCCCAACTTGCCTAAACATTTCTCTTGTCTGTCTCAAAAACATTTTCTGTCTGTTCCAAAACATTTTTTCTGTTTTTCTGACTTCTAGTGACCTCTTACGTCACAAAAACACACCCCTGATTAGCTCTTTCAGCCAATCAGGACTTCCCAAATGAACCGGAAACAGAACTCTTTAAATGTCGACACTTCCTAGTTCCAGAGTGCGGTGGGAGAGCAGTTCAGTTCGGAGAGCAGAACCGAACAGAAAAGTGCTGGAGAGAACAGGAGGTTCCAGACATGATCCGAAGTTCTTCCGAGTGTTGTGGGAATTATGCAATCTTCCACATCTGAGTGGAACTCTGACGGACTCACAGCTCATGTGAGCCCACCCGGGAGGTGAACGTGTGTCGAACGAAGTACCGTCACTACTCCGGACGTTTCCCAACCATCCTACGGAGACGCTGGAAATGGTAGCGTTAAATGGAACTCCGTACCAGCTGATTCATCTTCAGAGAGGTAACGAGTCGATTTCCTACTGAAGCGTACCGAGGTGGAACTGGGTTTGAATGGAGAGTGCCGTTCTTATACCGACACATTTTCCTTCACACACATTTTCTCTCCACCTAACTCCTCAATTTCCCATCTTTAAAACTCTTCTATCTTGCCAGTAATTCATCCAGATATTTTCAGAAATGTCTGTTGTAAAGCAACAAGGAAACCATGGCCGTATGGTTTCCTAATTGTAAAGCTTGCTAACTAAGCTATGTTGTTGTTGAAATCAATTTGCCAAATTGATGTAAATGTTTGATGTTAAACTTTGATTCTGTTAATAAATGACCGCATTCATCTGATGGGTCAAAGAAAATTAACGTCTCACGTCACATTTAATAATTCAATGCACGATATTATTCAGTCCAGAAAAATGAATGAATCCGTTTAATTTATGAATATATCACAGATATATGTTCATCTACAAGTGGGAGAGTCTGTGTGAAGTTAATGATGTCCAGTTAACCAGTGAATACTGGGTGCAGTGGTGGGTACGATAATCAGCCAGTTATGAATCTTAGTGCACCATGACAGACAGCATCCAACATCTGCAGGGTTCTTGTAGGAGCGTTCATGTAAATAATGTCACCGTGATCAATGGAGGGAAGGAAAGTCACAGATACAAGGTGTTTCCTAACATTCAGGGTTAGACAGGATCTGTTTCTGAAAAAGAAACCCAGTTTAACAATAAAGTCCATGTTCAGTAATCCAGGTATACAATCCAACATTTTTCAGTCAGGTCATCTGGACAGTTTTTTTTTTTTTTTTTTTTCATGCTGAAACGTTTCACCTTCCATCCAGAAGGCTTCGTCAGTCAAGGAAACACACAACACAAAACTAATTCTTCCCACAACAGCTTACTCCAAAGTGGAACAAACCAGTTATGTTGGTGCTAAAATGCTAAACGATGCTAAAAGGTG